TAATTTTTCTGAACTTTGATTATTTTACTTCTGCTTGATTCTTGCTATTCAAACTCATCATGATTTTTAGAGTCCTCTGCTAGCCTTTCTTTAACCTTACTGCCTGCTTATCTTTCTTTCCTTCTGTAGTCTTTCTTTCCTCTTTCCTTCTTTCTTGTTTTTCTCTTTCATTCTATTTCTGCCCCCTGTAATATTTGTACTTTTTTATTCGTAGTAATATTGCTTATTCTTACCCATATATGCCATGCATTTTAATTGCTCTTCCCTCAGCTTAGAATGCCTGTCTCCACCTTTTGAAATTACATTTAACCATCAACCCTAGATCAAATGCCATCTTCTTTTGAAGTCTTCCTCAATTTGAATTAGTAGCTACCTTTTCTATCCTTCCACTGCATTTTCTATATACTTTATATTCTGCCTTAGGTTATAACATGCCTGTCTTCCTCCTGTATGTATTTCTCTTTTTTATATATTTTTAAAAGTTCCATTTTATTTAAAGAGTCATAAAGAACTTCATTAGCTCTTCACACTGATAATCACTACTGAGTAATCTTTAAGGAATATCGAGACATTATACTTTCTCTTGTTTTAAGGAAAATATCAAGGGGTGCCTGGGTGGCTCAGTCGGTTAGGTGTCTGCCTTTAGCTTGGGTCATGATCCCAGGTCCCTGGATCGAGCCCTGCATCGGGCTCCCTCCTTGGCAGGGAGTCTGCTTCTCCCTCTGCCCCTCACCCCGCTCGTGCTCACTCACTCGCTCACTCTCTCAAATAAATAAATAAAATCTCTTTTAAAAAATTAAAAATAAAGAAAAATACCAAGTACAGTTACAGCCAAATCATAAATGTTTATTTCTAATGGAATTTTCAGTGGTATAATTTTAAGGATCTCTTTCCTATGATTTTGCCCATTTTAGGCTGGATCAGTTCATGTAAGAATTCGACGAGATGCAAACGAACAAATGGTTCTTGCTCATGTGACCAACAGGCTGTACACTCTAGTGTCTACCTTGACTGTTCAGATTTTCAAGGATGATTGGATTAGACCTGCCTTACTGTCTGGGCCTGTTGCAGCCAATGTCCTAAACTTTTCAGATCATCACATAATTCCAATGCCTCCTTTAAAGGGTACTGATGATTCAAACCCTGTCACATCGACTCCAGCTAAACCTAGTAGTCCACCTCCAGAATTTTCATTTAACACCCCTGGGAAAAACGTGAACCCAGTTATTCTGCTAACCACCCAAACAAGACCTTATGGTTTGGGTCTTAATCATGGACACACACCTTATAGTAGCATGCTTAATCAAGGACTTGGAGTTCCAGGAATTGGAGCAACCCAAGGATTCAGGACTGGTTTTACAAATATGCCAAGTAGATATGGAACTAACAATAGACAACCAAGACCATGATGTACTGTAAATTAATTTATTTTTATGAGGAATATTGACTTCTTGACTTCCAATTTATTTAGTAATCCAACTGTGCATTGACTGTTCAATCATTTACTCTAAATGTTAGAGAATAGTGGGTTTGTTCACATTACATGAAACTGATGAAGCTATATTTTTGTAAAATGTATTTGGGGCTGTTGAGAACCTTCTAAATGTCGTAAGGTTTAAATAGGCTTCCTATAGAAAGTGTGTTTCTCTAAATTTGAATTTTGCTATTTTTGGTTTCGTAGTTGACTGCAGTGTGATAGACATCATCTTTACAATAAGAGAACCACTCAATGGAGCAGATCTGTCACATTATTAAAAGTATAGTATTTTCTTCAGTGAAATTTATAAACATATGCTTCTTGAATAATGGTATACATTTTAGGAAAGGAAAAAAATGTCCATTTCAAAAGTAAAAGTCTCTTTTATAATAAGCTTTTCCAAACTTAATTGCTACATTTTTCTTTGAGGTCCTCTTGATTTATGTCTTGCAAAAGGAAAGCAGAATTTTTTATCAGAAATTTTAGAACATATTCTCCTATCTAGCATAATTTGAAATTTTTAATTATTCGTTTTTTATAGTTTTTCTCATTAAAAGATTTCAGTACATTTATAAAGAGTCCGTGGTCCTCAAAGTGTTTTATTTTGCTTAAATGAATACCAAATCCTTTGGTAATGTGAAATGAAGGAATCCCAGTTTTCTCTCTTACATTTAATCAAATACTGACATAATAAAACAAACAAACAAAAAACACCAAGAACCCAAATACTGACATAATGATGGAACTTATCTTTTTCATCACCTTTTCATTAGTTGACTTTTTAATCTCTCATTTTATTAACAAAATATATCAAATATATTACAAAATCTAAAATATATTACAAAATATATGGAATTCCATGCGTAATATGGGATTTGATAGTTGCATAAACAATTTGAGTTTATATTATATAATTTTACCAAAACATAATAGACCCTAGATTATAAATACAGTATTGTTAGATGTGTAACAGGCAATTTCTAACTTATTTTGTTTTGCTTTGTTGAAATCATAAATTGTTAACTGTGATGAAGTATGAGAATCATGGATTATTTTATTTTTTTATTATTTTCCAAATGCAAATGTTAAGGACCTGCCAACATAGCCAGTATTACATATAAAAAGTATCACAAGCAGCAAATGACAAAAATTACCTGAGGTGTTTTTTGTTTTTTGTTTTTATCAAGAGTTTTACAATTAGAGTTTTAAAAAGGTATTTTGAAAGTGGATTCAACTTTTCTGGAATCTAATACTCCTGGAGATTTAGGTCTTTTCCAGCCATCAGCCAGCTATGTAGAAAAGATTTTTGTTTTTGAAGAATTTGCAAGTTTCTTCAGTCAACTCATCCTTTTTAAAATATGAGCAACACTTCCAAATCGGATTTCACAGTGGAATCACAAACATCCAAGAAGCCACCTCTGTCAAGCAGAACTGTCGTCATCCTGTAATAAATAAGTGACCATGTCCCAGCTTTTGCATGGTGAGGAGTTGGTCATTGTCTTTAACATCTGCAACCCTGTTCAGGCATTTGACCTGCTGAAGAAATAGAGCGCACACTACCTTGACTGCTGGGGAAAATGAAACTTCATAAAATGTACTAAGGCAACCAATTCCTTGTCCTTTGTCTTACGTCCTCCAACTATTAGTATGCCTATTATTGGTCCACTATTACAGGGTGATTTTTCCTCCATTGACCTCATCCAAGTGGGTCGACTGCCCATGAAATCTGAAGAACTGCCATGTACTGAGTGATGATTAAGAGGTCTGCGCTGCCACCCTTTGCATGTCTTTTCCATTCTCATGGGATTTTTAAAGTGTGCAGGTACTGAACACAATTCTGCATGATGTTAAATGCCTATTTCCTCAACACCTCTTCAGAGGCAACACTTGTGTAGTTGTCCCAACAAAGGTGCTTTGATACCCACCTACACTATTTAAGAAATTTCCTGTGGGTTCTAAAGGAATTAGCTCTACTTGCTGAAATTCACCGATGCCAACTGCTGCAGGTGACATTGGTCCATGCATTATTATATAACAATGTGTTATTTGCCGAGCTCTGGCCAGCATCTGGATATAAAAACAAGAAACTTGGCCAACATAGGTCTAGAGGCAGTATTCTTACTAGTAAATCTTGCCAGTGTCACATCAAGCTAAACAAAGAAAGAAGTTTGAATTGACTACTTGGCCCATGGCTTGTGATTAAGAGCAAGTTCCATGGAGTGTAATTAACCCTGTCTGAGAAAATACCATACTGTAACATACTGTAACAGAAAAAATGCTGGGCTAGAAGTCAAGAGATTGGATTCTGAGCCTGATGCTGCCACTATGTAAGTAGTTTGGTTACCATGGGCAAGTCATTTAACTTCTCTAAGCTTTATCATCTGTAAAGTTAGGGTGGGGAATGAATTAGTTGATCTGTAAACTATCAGCTCTAAAATTTTATGACTAAATCTACAGATTATGCCCACTTGCTAAACAATATTGTGCCCAGAATGTCCTTCCAGTGACTACCTCAGCATACAGGCCAAGTGTTACTGATACCAACACCCAAGCCATTAATTTGAGGTGCCATGAGAATAGAAGGTGAACTGCAGGCTAACAGCATTTAGGTTCTTGTTTATCTCAGACTGGCCTTGACTTAAATCTGTTAAGATCAAACAGATTTTTCTTAGACTTCTTTCTTTGTGGGGAAGGATTATTTTGGGGGGTGTTGGAGAAAAGTTTAGGACAGGGTACCCTTAGATTCGTAGGGTACAAAAGAATGGGCTACATTTTTCTTTCTTCCTTAATCTCTGAAGATACAGTTAGAATTACATATGTGTATCAGCAAATGGAGAGGTCCTGAATTTCAAGCCTCTGATTTAGCTGCTCGTAAACTGCCAATTTTTTGCTTGACTAAAGTATGCTGATCTTTTTGGGAGTCTATCTGCTTCTTATATAAGGAAATGCTTTTTACATTCCAAATTGTTTGAACCACACTGTTTGAATAAAGAACATACATGGAGTTTTCTCTCTGATCTTAAATAATTTTGGCTTGTTTCCTTATTCAATAGCTATCTATTGGTCATTTAATTTAATTCAGCAAATACTTATTGAGCATCCAGTACATGCCATGCACTGTACTAAGTAAATGTGCACACAGTATATCAATTTTTGTGACCTGTTCTTGAGACCAAAGGGAACACAAGGATAAACAAAAGATCCCTTCAAGTACCAGGTAATCATACCTGTGATAAGACACAGAACTTCTGCACATGTTATCAGATGAAACTCCCTCTCACTTCCTCCTCTTCTTTGGTCTCATTTTCCTGGCATCCTCCTCCTTTTTTTTTTTTGAATGATGAAACTAAGGAAGTAAATTTCCATGGAAGAGACCAGCTAGAGGTCAAGGTGTCACACATCATGCAGATATCAGGAAAGGAAGAGAAAGTTTGGAAAGGGCAAGTTAGGCAGACACTCTTGAGAAAGGATAATTTTTAGGTTATATAATGGATTGCCACATACTTTCAGACTCTTGCACTGGATGAGCAAAGATTATTAAGTCACCACACTGAAAGTAATGGAGTCCCCAGAGCATTCATGGGCTCAGGGTGGCCTTTATTTAAGTTACTAGTTTAAAAGCACCTTTAATAACACTAATATCATCATCATCAAACTGCCACCCAACAAGCCTAGCTTCTTGCACAAAAGTTAACTTTGATAACACATGGCTAATTTTCCTGACAAATGCTGCATCAGGCAAAAATCTTGTAGTACTGAAGTCAAAAGAGCCTAATTGCTTAAGATTCTGAAATACATTCATGAAGGCAAGCCATTAGTCACTGCTCACACAATTTCCCACCAAATTCAACTGCTGGAAGGTTTTTAGAGGGTTCTTTTAAAAAAATGCACCTGGGTGAAAAAATAGAAGTATGTGGGGTGAAAAAATAGAAGTATGTGAGTTGGAAGTGAAACAGTTTTTTAAGAGAAATGCCTATGTTTGGACCAGTGCTTTGCTTCAGAAAGAAATTAGAATTCTCTATAGGTAGGGCAATGATTGTGAATCTGCTCCCTTATTTTTACAAGTTATATTTTGTGTATATAACTGTAAGGCATATATATTTGTGTATATAAGTGTAAGGCAGTCTGACAGATAGTAATTAGTAGCAGTATAGCAAACCCAATACAAATGAATACTGTATTTTTTTCACTTTTCCTGATTCTTCCAGGAAATGGAAGATTGCTTTAAAATTGAGGTGTAAGAGATGCTATTAAATATTTGTCACGGTTTTTCAAAACTAGAGTCAGACTTCATCAAGCTTAGGTCATTTCCTCTTCTTTTTTTTTTTTTTTTAAAGATTTTATTTATTTATTTGACAGAGACACAGCAAGAGAGGGAACACAAGCAGGGGGAGTGGGAGAGGGAGAAGCAAACTCCCCACTGGGCAGGGAGCCCGATGCGGGGCTCAATCCCAGGACACTGGGATCATGACCTGAGCCAAAGGCAGACGCCCAACGACCAAGCCACCCAGGTGCCCCAGTCATTTCCTCTTTTTTTAAAAAATTTTTTTTTTTTAAGATTTTTATTTATTTATTTGACAGAGAGAGACATAGCGAGAGAGAGAGCACAAGCAGGGAGGAGTGGGAGAGGGAGAAGCAGACCCTCCGCTGAACAGGGAGCCCGATGCAGGGCTCAATCCCAGAACCCTGGGATCATGACCTGAGCCAAAGGCAGATGCTTAATGACTGAGCCACCCAGGCGCCCCTCATTTCCTCTTCTTGAGAAGCAAACACTAACTATTATTTCTTGGGTATGGAATGTTCCTAACTGTAAACTTGAGTAAGTGAGACTCTTTCAGTATCTCAAGACTTGGGTTTTGGGGGTTGTCTTTTTTTTAATGCTCCCTAATGGAACTTCTCCATTCCTTACAGAATAGGGCACTCCTGCAAAGGGAAGGTGGATATCCTAGCCATGAAGTCCAAGACAATAGCCTAAGGAATGGAAGGGTCCAAAAAGTAGGTTTCTGGGTGTGAAAGCTTGCACAGAACAACACCCACCTGCTTGGACTGCTCATTTCTGGACTGTTACAGAAGAGGGAAATAAAGTTCTGTTTTCTGTATGGTATGGGGGGGTCTCCTGTTATACCAGCTTAAGCCTGTGCCCAGCCTAACTCATACCTAGGGCCTCACTTTCTCCTCTCTTCCTCCTTCCCATAAGGAGCCCATCTTTATTCCTTGTAAGCAGCTTTCTCCCTGCTCTCTCGGACCTCATGTTCACATCCTTTCAGCTTCCGCCTCTTTTCCATGTGCTTCCTAGCATTGCATGCACTCAGCCACTTCTCCTGTCTCTATGTAAGACTCCTTCATGGGGCACTTGGGTGGCTCAGTCGGTTGGGCATCTGCCTTTGGCTTGGGTCATGATCTCAGGGCCCTAAGATTGAGTCCTGCATCAGGCTCCCTGCTCAGTGGGGAGCCTGCTTCTCCCTCTCCTCCCTGCTTGTGGTCTCTCTCGCTATCTCTGTCTTTCTCCCAAATAAACAAATAAAAAGTCTTAAAAAAAAAAAAAAGACTCCTTCCCTAAAGGGCAGCTTTTCTCTTTCTCTATTAGAAGCAGGTTTTACCACCTCAAAGGAATTTAACAAAGAATTTAAATTGCAATCTTTTTTTAAGCGCTGCATTATTTTATACTCCAACCACCAGGATATGAGGGTTCTAATTTGTCCAAGCCCTTGTTAACACTTGTTATTATCTGTCCTTTTTATTATAAACATCCCTAGTGGTTGGGAAGAGGGGTTTCATCATGGCTTTGATTTGCATTTCCATGATAGCTAATGATTTTGAGCATCCTTTCTGGCTTATTGACGGTTTATATATATTTACATAAGTATATATATATAAATAAATATATATATTTGCAGGTGATTTTTATTTTTATTTTTTATTTAAATTCAATTAATTAGCATATAATATATTATTAGTTTCAGAGGTAGAGTTCAGTGATTCATCAGTCTTATATAACACCCAGTGCTCATTACATCACATGCCCTCCTTAATGTCCATCAATCCCACCATCTCTCTCCCCTCCAGCAACCCTCAGTTTGTTTCCTATGATTAAGAGTCTTATGGTTTATATATATTCTCTGGAGAAATATCTATTCAGATCCTTTGCCTGTTTAAAAAATTGAATTATTTATCTTTATATCAGTGAGTTGTAAGAGTTCTTTATTCTAGACAGTAGTCTTTTATCAGATACATGACTTGCCATAATGTAAAGTTGTTCTGCCATTCTCTGGGTTCTTTTTTCACTTTCTTGATGATGCCCTTTAAAGTACAACAGTTTGTAATCTTGATGAAGTCCAACTTATTTCTTATTTGTGTTTGCTTGTCATATCTAAGATTTTGCCTAACCTGAAGTCATGAAGAGTTACTCCTAGATTTTCTTCAAAAATTTTTATAGTTTCAGCTGTTAATGTTTATATCTTTGATGCATTTTTAAAAAAATTTTTTTAAGATTATTTATTTATTTATTTAACAGAGAGAGACACAGCGAAAGAGGGAACACAAGCAGGGGGAGTGGAAGAGGGAGAAGCAGGCTCCCCACCAAGCAGGGAGCCCGATGCGGGGCTCGATCCCAGGACCCTGGGATCATGACCTGAGCCAAAGGCAGACGCTTAACGACTGAGCCACCCAGGCGCCCCTTAATTTTTTTTTTTTTTTTTTAGAGAGAGAGAGCATGAACAGGGGGAGGAGCAGAGAGAAAGAGAGAGAAGCAGACTCCCCACTGAACAGGGAGCCCAAAGCAGGGCTCCATCCCAGGACCCTGAGATCATGACCTGAGCCGAAGGCAGATGCGTAATTGACTGAGCCATCCAGGTGCCCCAGTTTTCTCCTAATTCTTGAATCAGTTTGGGAAATGACATTTTTCTAAAAACATGTCTTCTTTGTCTATTTCAAATTTGTTGGTATCACAGTTGAAGGATTTCCATATCTTTTAAATTTCTGATTAATCTATAAAAGACTCCTTTTTGCCTTTGATTTTTGTAGAAAGATTTATTTATTTACTTTAGAGAGAGCAGGTGGGAGAGGCAGGGAGGAGAAAGTCTCAAGCAGACTCCATGCTGAGCTCAGAGCCTGATGCAGGGCTCCATCCCTAAGATCCCTAACTTTAAGATCATGACCTGAGCCAAAACCAAGAGTCAGATGATTAACCCAATTGCACAACCCAGGCACCCTTGCCTTTGATGTTTTAAACACTTTATTTTTTTAGAACCGTTTTAGATTTATAGGAAAAATTGCAAACATAGTACACAGAGTTGCCATACAGTCCACACTTAGCTTCTCCTATTATTAACATCTTACATTAGCATGGCATGTTCACTGCAATTAATAAACCAGTATTAATACCTTATTAAGTCTATAGTGTTTTGAGATTTCTTTAGTTTTTACCAGTATCCCTTTTTTGTTCCAGGATCCCATCCAAGATATCACATTACATTTAATCATCATGTCTCCTTACGTTCCTCACAGAACCTCTTGTCTTGTGACAATTTCTCAGATTCTCCTTGTTTTTGATTCCCTTGACAGTTTTGAGGAGTACTGGTCAGGTATTTTGTAGGACTTGTCTGATGTTTTTCTCATGATTAGATTGGGGGTTTGCAGTAGTGAGAGGAAGATTACAGAAGTGTAAAGTATCATTTTCCTTATATGTCCAGGGTACATACTGTCAACACGATCTATCGCTGCTCATGTTGACCTTGATCACCTGGCTAAGGTGGTGTTCCATTTATCCTCTGTGAAGCTACTCTTCTCCCCTTTCTATACTACCACTGAGGAAGTCACTATGTGCAGTCTACACTTAGGTAGTCGGAGTTAGGCTCCACTTTTTGTGGGCAAAGTTATCTACGTAATTATTTGCAGCTTTGCATGGGAGATTTATCTCCCCCGTTTACTCATTTATTCAATAATTTATTTATATCAGTATGGATTCATGGATATTTATTTTATGCTTTGGGATATAATCCAATGCTACTTTATTTTATTGTTCCAGTTGCTCAGCTTTACTGTGAGCTCTTTTAGTTGGTTTCTGTGTCACTTTGACTTCCTCCTATTACCGTGGGTGTCTTTTGTTTCTTTGTTTTGAGCTCTTCCTTACTTTTCTGGCACTACACGATGCTCTAGGCTTATACATTTCCTGCCCTAGTCCTAGAATTAGACATTTTGTCAAAATGCCTTGGTTCCCTTTATTAGAGAATGGTATTAGAATCCAAGATCTGGGTATCGTGAGTGCTTATTTCTTCCAAGGTGTCATTGCTTCTAGTCCCTCTCAGCTGACAGAGCAAAGAATATGTGTATGTACACGTGTAAGAAAAACTCCATTCAGGGCGTCTGGGTGGCTCAGTTGGTTGAGCGACTGCCTTCAGCTCAGGTCATGATCCTGCAGTCCTGGCATCGAGTCCCGCATCGGGCTCCCTGCTCAGCGAGGAGCCTGCTTCTCCCTCTGACCCTCCCCCCTCTCATGTACTCTCTCTCATTCTCACTCTCTCAAATGAATAAATAAATCTTTAAAAAAAAAAAAAGAAAAGAAAGAAAAACTCCATTCATTCTAGCTCCCATTCCCCTCCCGTGTGTCTCCTTTACTGAGCATACAGAACACTTCATACACTTCTGGTCATCAGGTGTGTGGAGGTTACTCCCCACACCGTACAATTCTGTGCAACACCAGGTGTGTGTCCTACAAGTTAACTCAATTCTAACACTGCCTATCTGGAAATCTTGTCCGATCCCACAGGCTAAGGCCTCAGGCCTGCAGGACTGCTTCTATCCCACTTCAGGTGCCAATCACAAGTGGTAGGTCCCCGGGTTATCCACAACTTCTGTCTGATTAAGCTACAAATTGGAGGTTCCCATGTGTCCCTCCTCAGGTTTGATTAATTTGCTAGAGCAGCTACAGAACTCCCGGAAACACATTTGCCAGTTTATTGAAGAATACAGATGAACAGCCAGATGAAGAGTTACCTAGGGCGAGGTCTGGGAGGATCCCTAGCACAGGAGCGTCTGTCCCCATGGAGTTTGGGGTGTGCCACCCTCCCTGCGTGGATTTGTCTGCCAACCTGGAATCTCCCTTAACCCTGTGCTGTTGGGATTTTGTGGAGGCTTCGTCACATAGGCATGATTAATTGTTAACTCAGTTTCTAGCCCCTCTCTATTCTTTGGAGGATGACGGGTGGGAATGAAAATTTTTTATAATCTCTACACCCAATGTGGGCCTCAAACTCATGACCCTGAGATCAAGAGTCGCATGCTCTTCCGACTGAGCCAGCCCAGCGCCCCCTAAATGATTGTTTACATACACTAAGGTTCACTCTTTGCACTATAAAGTTCTGTGGGGTTCAACAAATGAATAGTGTCATGTCTGCACAGTTACAGTATCATGCAGAATATTTGAATTGTCCTAAAAAAATACCCTATGCTGTACCTGTTCAACCCTTCCTCCCCTCTTCCTGAGCTCCTGAGTTTTTTCCTAAATTGAAGTATAGCTGACATATTATATTGGCTTCAGGTGTACAACATGGTGATTTGACAACTATATACATTATGCAGTGTTCATCGTGATGAGAGTGGTTACTGTTTGTCACCTGTAACTGACTGTATTCCCTATGCTGTACTTTTCATCCCCATGACTTACTTATTTTATAGCTGGAAGTTTGTTCCTCTAAATCCCCGTCACCCATTTCACCCATCCTCCCACCCTCCTCCCCTCTCGTAAGAACCACCAGTTCTCTATATTCATGACCGTGTTTCTATTTTTGTTGTTGTTTGTTCATTTGTTTTATTTTTCAGATTTTCGATCATACAGTATTTGTCTTTCTCAGACTTATTTCAGTTAGCATACTGCAAATGGCAAGATGTCATTCTTTTTTATAGCCGAGTAATATTCTACTGTGTATATATACACCACATCTTTATTCATTCATCTATCAGTAGACACTTAGGTTGCTTCCATATCTTGGCTATTGTAAATAATGCTGGAATAGACATAGAGGTGCATTTATCTGTCCAAATTAGTGTTTTTGTTTTCTTTGGGTACAGTCACTGAACTTTTTACTGTCTCAACAGTTTTACCTTTTCCAAAATGTCATATAATTGGATTCAGACATTATGTCACCTTTTCAGACTTGCTTCTTTCACTTAGCAATATGTATTTAAGTTTCTTCTATGGCTTTTCATGGCTTCATAGCTCATCTCTTTTTACCACTGAATACTATTTATGGCTGTACCACAGTTAGTTTATCCATTCACCTATTGAAGGACACCTCCATTGCTTCCAGGTTTTGGTGATAATGAATAAAGCTACTACAGACATTCATGTGCCTGTCTCCATTTTGACTAATGAAATTATTTATGTCACTCTATCTTTTCTTGAGCAGTCTTGCTTGACTTTTTTTTTTTTTTTAAAGAAAGCTCTACGTGTGACTTCAACTCACTACCCCAAGGTCAAGAATCACATGCTCTACAGACTGAGCCAGCCAAGTATCCCAGTCTTCCTTGGCTTTTATTTATCTTATTACTCTTTTTAAAGAACCAACTTCAAGCTTTATTACTCTCGTTTAGTGTATTTTTATTTTCTGTGTCATTGACTTATCTTCTTACGTTTACTATCCTGGGGTTTACTCTGATGTTTTTCTGGCTTCTTAAATTAGAAACTTATTAATCTTCAGGCTTCTCTAATATAAATACTTCAGGCTGTGAGAATTTTATTCAAGCCCTGCTTTGGCTGCATGCCACAAATTTCGGTACATAGCATTTTCTTACCATTCAGTTCTAAATATTTTTGTTGAAATTTGTCACTATGAATTTGTAGCATACCTACCTGCCAAATTGTGTGATGTTCCCCAGTATCCTGAGTATGGGCACAGAAAAAGTGGAAATTTAAGGACAACCCAGGGTTACTTTCACCTGGAAAGTGTATCCCAACTACTGTATCTAATTTCACACCTCACATCCACATCTCATTTTCTCCCTGCATCTCATCAGGTAGTCTTTCTTTAATTAGAGAATCTGTCTCTCATCACCCTTTCTTCAATTCACTGTGGCGTCTATCACACATGTCCATCATTGAATGTCAATGCCTTACACTGGCTCGTGGTACTGGGGACCGTGAGAGTGTCACAGAGGACTATAAGAGATGGAGATGGAGAGGGCAAGGCGACTGATGGGCAGCTGTAGCCTAAACTGGCAAAAACCGTTCAGCTTCTCTTCAAGAGCATGGAAGTGCCAATATTACCTTTTACTAATCTGCTGCTCAGAACTATCACAATTATCCTTCACTATTACCCACAAGCACTCGGTATCCTTGCTATATCCACAATTATACGGGGCCTTCTTGTAAAAATTGACAAGTGACTGTTCTCCCCATCCAAATCACTTGGAAGAGAGGGAAAGGAACCACTGCAGAAGGCAAGGAGACCCAAATCCAGAACATGGGAGCAGAGAGTCAAACCCAGAAATGACCATGGAAACAAGCCCTGGATCTAGGCTGACATCCTGGGTAGGATGTGGATTAGTGTTTTTTCTAAGCTGCAGGGTATCCCCTCATTTAGAGGAACATGAAACAAATTTAATGGATTGCAATCAGCATCTGTTTTAAGTGAAATAGGACAGAAAGAATAGAAAATAACAGATTGTGTCACACATAGCATAAGATACTTTCTGTGAAATTTTTTAATGTGTATGTATGTGTTAATGTTAAATCATGAGATAAAATGTATTTTTAACTGAGGGTCAGAGTCAAAGAGTTTAAAGCACCCTAGACGAGAGGCTTAAAGCAGACATCTAAGTTACATATGGGGGTACAGGGGAGAGAACATATGGAGAATATGTGACCTGGAGGAGATATTTAAGTTAGGTCTTAAAGGGACTGTAAGAGAAGGTAAAGGACATTCTAGAGGAAGTGCACATACAAAGGCATTTTTGGGAAACGGCAAGAAGTCCATGAGGTGGAACCTCATGTAGGGAGAGAGGCATGGCAGAAGATGAAGGTGGAAAGGAAGGTAAATTGAGGATCCGTTGTGAAGGGTCTTATACACGAAGTGAGCTGGATTTATTTTTATAAATTTTACTTATTTTGCAAGCTGAGGAAGCTTTTTTTCAAAAGGAAGATAAATTTATTATCTGGTTCCCTTGGAAATCCACAGAGGAAAACAAAGGTACCATTCATTGAGCACATACATTAGGTCAATGTTGAACTTCTTACTTTATATGCATTAGTTTAATTACTGATTAGCACAGTAACTGCTCATATGGTTGGTATTATAGTGACTCTCATTTGACAGATGAGCAGACTGAGGCTCAGAGATTTTAAGTTGCTCAGGTCATCCATCTATCAAGTGGAAAGGGTGGGCAGGTGTGACTCCAAAACTAGTGCACTGGACCACTTATAAAGATGGGAGACTCTAGAGAGCAGTCTCATCACCTGATAGAGAATAAGGCAGAGAACGTTTGGATCTCACTCATCAGCTCTCATCACTCAAGCACAAGTAGACTGCTTTTTATACCTCTTCCAGGTGGAGGAACAGCTGGAGGGGGCAGTGCCAACATCTACACTCTCTCCCCACATCATCAACTCCTCCTCTTCTGTCTCCAACCCTTTCGCTGCTTTACTACGACAACCTTATATATCTGCTGCTTTATAAAACAGGGATAATGTTATCTTTTATTAGGGATGTAATGATTATTCCATAAATTCTTCTTAAAAACACTTTGAGAATAAAGTAATTACTCCTATTGAGTTGTTCATTTTGTAATATCTTTTTTACTTGCATTGGAAGGTACATTGTTACAGCTAAATTTCCAAGAGTCAGCTCCCTTCTCTTACGCTTATTTTTCTCATTTACATGTAGAGGCTATAAGGCACTAGGCAACTCAAGGGGCGCCTGGGTGGCTCAGTCGGTTAAGCGTCTGCCTTTGGCTCAGGTCATGATCCCGGGGTTCTGGGATCGAGCCCCACGTCAGGCTCCCTGCTCAGCGGGGAGCCTGCTTCTCCCTCTCCCCTTCTCCCCTGCTTACGATCTCTCTCAAATAAATAAAATCTTAAAAAAAAAAAAAAAAGGCACTAGGCAACTCAAGTCAAATGGCAAATTACTGCCTACCTCAGGTCTTACTTCATTAAATATCCCATCTCCTTCTCTGCTCTCATTGGCCAGCCTGAGAAGTGGGCAAATCAGACAGCTACCTACTTAAAGATTTGAAAGATGCTAAAAGGCCTCTACCTTAAAAAATGTCTCCCCAACATCTGATTCTAATTCTACACACTCTCTGGTGGCCTCATTGAAAAGACACACCCTTTCCAACTCATTTAAGGTATGAAGTTACCTGACAGGGATTATTTATTAGCTAACTAATTAGCCTGTCACAGAAGCCACCTGCTTCCAACATCACCCAGAATAGAGGAGGGACCTGTAAGAATGACACTCAGAATTATATGATTTGATGGGTTAAGGGTGTGGGTAAAGGAGATGGAGGTGGAGTTAGGAATTAAAGAAAAGATCCAGAACTTGAAGGCAAAAACCCTTCAGCAGCCTAAGCACTTAGAGACATATACATGTCTAGGAGAAAAGGTTTTAGAGAAGTAGGTGGGGAGCTAGTTTTTAATGGGTACAGACTTTCAGTCAAGGAAGATAAGTTCTGGAGGTGGATGGTGATGGTGGTTGTTCAAGAACGTGAATGTACTTAATACCACAGAACTGTACAGTTAAAATTGGTTAAAATTTTAAGTTTCATGATATGTATACTACAGATATATTCTAGAGAGGGGTGCCCGGGTGGCTCAGTTGTCAAGCGTCTGCCTTCGATTCTGGTCATGGTCCCAGGGTCCTGGGATCGAGCCCCACATCGGGCTACCTGCTCTGCAGGAAGCCTGCTTCTCCCTCTCCCACTCCCCCTGCTTGTGTTCCCTCTCTCTCTGTCTCTCTCTCTCTCTGTCAAATAAATAAATAAAAATCTTTAAAAATATATATATTCTAGACAATCTGTGAGGGAAATGAAGTCAAAGCTGTTTTCACCAATCCTTTGCCTTAGAAAATATGTTAGTCACCCTTTAAGATGGCACCAATGATCCGCACCTCCTAGTATATACTCCCATGTATTGTATCCCCCACCCCACCCCCCAACAGTGGATAGGGCTGACCTGGGTAACCAATAGGAGGAAGCAGAAATGACCCTCCAGGGCTAGGTTCTAAAAGACGTTGCAGAGGCGCCTGGGTGGCTCAGATGTTTAAGTGTCTGCCTTCGGCTCAGGTCATGATCCCAGGGTCCTGGGGTTAGGCGCTGCAGCACATCGGGCTCCCTGCTCAGTCGGGAGCTGCTTCTCCCTCTCCCCCTGCCATTCCCTCCACTTGTGCTCTCTGGCTCTATCTCTCTGTCAAATAAATAAAAATCTTTAAAAAAAATTAAAAAATAGGGCGCCTGGGTGGCTCAGTCGGTTGAGTGACTGCCTTCGGCTCGGGTCATGATCCCGGAGTCCCGGGATCGAGTCCCGCATCGGGCTCCCTGCTAGGCGGGGGGTCTGCTTCTCCCTCTGACCCTCCCCCCTCTCATATGCTCTCTCTCTCTCATTCTCTCTGTCGAATAATAAATAAAATCTTAAAAAAAAAAATTAAAAAATAAAAATAAAAGACGTTGCAGCTTCCAACTGGTTCTCTCTTAGATCTCTTGCTCTGAGCGAAGTGAGCTGCCATATTGCGAGGACATTCAAGCAGCCTATGGAGAGGTCCAGGGATGAGAAACTGAGGCCTTCAGCCAACAGCCAGCATTAACCTGCCAACCCACTGAGGAGCTGCCTTGAAAGCAGATCCTCCAGCAGTCCCATCCAACATCTGGACTGCAACCTCATGACTGAGCCTAAGCCAGAACCACCTAGTTCCCACATTCCTCACCCACAGAAATTGTGAGATAATATTTGCAGTTATTTTAAGCCACTATTTGGGGGTGGGGGGTAATCTGTTCTATAGAAATCGATGACTAATACAGGTAGCATGAAGATCCCCCATCAACTGCCTGAGGCTGATGGAATCTTCCGTCATTTATAGATCTCTCTTTGTTCCAAGATTATTTCACAGTTGCTTAAAGATATTCAGTGATCCCATTTAGATAAAGTTGTACTTACTTTTACAGGTTTTGAATACCTAAGAGGTAGTCCTTAAAAACATTTCCCAAGGGCGCCTGGGTGGCTCAGTCGTTAAGTGTCTGCCTTCAGCTCAGGTCATGAGCTGCTTCTCCCTCTCCCACTCCCCATGCTTGTTATTATTTTCTAGTCCAATTCCACTATATTTGGAGAACATGCTTTTAGCTAAAGAAGACAGCCATCTCTGACCAAAAAAACAAAAACAAAACATTCTCGTGTCCCCATGCTGCCCCTGTGAATTCAGCCTGTATTCCTCCTAAGATTTTTGAGATTAAAGGGAGAGTGCTCATTTAGAAGACTTCATCCTACGAAAAGAAGTTATGGCTCTCGCTATCTCTCTCTCTGTCAAATAAATAAATAAAATCTTTAAAAAAAAAAAAAACATTTCCCAAAATTGGAGAGGCATTGCAGAATTTCAAACAGTTAAGGTTAGCAAGAGCAATTCCTAACATACCTTGTCAGGTGATGGGAATGTTTTTCCTTTAATACTACAGATGGAATGCTTAAATACCTAAAGGCAGGCCAGTATTTTATTTTATATTATTTTATTTTTTCTTTCTTTTTTAAAATTTAAATTCAATTAATTAACATATAATGTATTGTTGGTTTCAGGGGTACAGGTCTGTGATTCATCAGTCTTATATAATACCCAGTGCTCATTACAACACATACCCTCCCCAATGTCCATCACCCAGGTACCCCATCCCTTCACCCCCCTCCCATCCAGCAGCCCTCAGTTTGTTTCCTATGATCAAGTCTCTCTTTTTTTTTAAAGATTTTATTTATTTATTTGACAGAGAGAGACATAGCGAGAGAGGGAACACAAGCAGGGGGAGTGGGGGAGGGAGAAGCAGGCTTCCTGCAGAGCAGGGAGCCTGATGTGGGGCTCGATCCCAGGACCCTGAGATCATGACCTGAGCTGAAGGCAGACGCTTAACTGACTGAGCCACCCAGGCGCCCATATCAGTGAGATCATATGATAATTGTCTTTCTCTGATTGACATATTTCGCTAAGCATAATACCCTCTAGTTCCATCCACGTCATTGCAAATGGCAAGATTTCATCTTTTTGATGGCTGCGTAATATTCCCGTGTGTGTGTGTGTGTGTGTGTGTGTACCACATCTTTTTTATCCATTCATCTGTTGATGGACATCTGAGCTCTTTCCACAGTTTGGCTATTGTGGACATTGCTGCTATAAACATTGGGGTGCAGGTGCCCCTTTGGATCACTACATTTGTATCTTTGGGGTAAATACCCAGTAGTACAATTGCTGGGTCTTAGGGTTGCTCCTATTTTCAACTTTTTGAGGAATCTCTATACTGTTTTCCAGACTGGCTGCACGAGCGTGCATTCCCACCAGCAGTGTAGGAGGGTTTCCCTTTCTCCCATCCTCGCCAGCATCTGTTGTGTCCTGATTTGTGAATTTTAGCCATTCTGATTGGTGTGAGGTGGTATCTCACTGTAGTTTTGATTTGTATTTCCCTAATGCTGAGTGATGTTGAGCACTTTTTTCATGTGTCTGTTGGCCATTTGGATGTCTTCTTTGGAGAAATGTCTGTTCATGTCTTCTGCCCATTTCTTGATTGGATTACTTGTTCTTTGGGTGTTGAGTTTGATAAGTTCTTTATAGATTTTGGATACTAGTCCTTTATCTGATATGTCATTTGCAAATATCTTCTCCCATTCTGTTGGTTGTCTTTTGGTTTTGACGACTATTTCCTTTGCTGTGCAAAAGCTTTTATCTTGATGAAGTCCCAATAGTTCATTTTTGCCTTTGTTTCCCTTGCCTTTGGAGAGGTGTCTAGCAAGAAGTTGCTGTGGCCGAGGTCAAGAGGTTGCTCCCTGTGTTCTAAATCTGTCTCTCCCCAGGGTCAGGTAGAGAAGGCGTGTACTTATCCTTGTGTTCCTAGTGGAGGCTAGACAGCTTCTTCTAATGATGGGTTTCTCTAGCTTTTGGGTTATATTAGCATACAAATGATTTCCTTAGTAATCTTTACAGAATTCCAGAAGTTTAAGATCCTGTTTTTTAGAGGGCAAGACCATCTTTTCCTCAAAATCTAAATTTAAAAAACATGAATTGAACATACCCAGTTTATCTAGATACATGCAGTGGTTTCTCAGTACTTGGTATGCACACCCTCTGGGAATTCAAAAGACTCAACTCTTATGTTAATACACACTAACTCCATCTTAACAGGGCAATGGGTAAGAACTGGATGGCCTGAGAACATTTAAGGAAATTCTTCTTTCTCTGCTTCTCAATCATTTATTTATCCAGTCATCCAAATATTTATTAGGCAGTTATTATATAACAGAACATGTGTCAAGTTTCAAGCATCTATTTCTTGTTTTCTTTCTCTTCACCGTCTCTTAAAATTATAATATCTTCAATTTTTCTGAAATTTTCTCCTAATTCTCCATTTTATAATAAATTTTCATTTCAGTCATGGGGAAGATCATTAAAAACAGGCTAGATACTACCTGGAAGTCTTTATTATCTTTTCCAGTTTCCCTAAAAATTAAATTTCATTTTGAGAGACTTAGCATGCGTTAGCACGAAAGTATAATATGTTCTCTTACACTGTGCTCATTCAGTTAATGCAGGCAACAGTTACCTAGGGTTTTCATGGCATTTGCCAACAGGCAGCAGGAGACTAATTGGATTTCTTCAAGGTCACAGGGTTCAGCTGACAGAGACTTTACTATGTAATTCAATTCCTTCCCAATGTCAGACAAGTGGGTTGTATGAAGTAAACTCATCTTCTTCAGGTTTGTCAGGCCTTCAGCTGCAAAAAGTTGGAAGGGAAATTACATTAGGATTAACATCAAGTTAATTTGATTTAAACATAGATTAATGGACAGAAAAGAAGACAAAGAACAATTGCACAGAGATCTTGCCATGCTCTTTCTGTAGAGACCTTGAATTATAAAAAGCCAAAGAGAGTTGTTCTTCTTTCAACTCCCTCTCCCATCTCCTGGACCATACAAAGGTCACCTATGTGAAGGTCATTCTCTCAGCAGCATGAGAAAAAGTATAATAAATGTGTAGTATTTTAATGGGTATCAATGTATACCTTGCCATAACTTCTTTTCGTAGGATGAAGTCTTCTAAATGAGCACTCTCCCTTTAATCTCAAAAATCTTAGGAAGAATACAGGCTGAATTCACAGGGGCAGCATGGGGACACGAGAATGTTTTGTTTTTGTTTTTTTGGTCAGAGATGGCTGTCTTCTTTAGCTAAAAGCATGTTCTCCAAATATAGTGGAATTGGACTAGAAAATAATAACAAAGATAACAAGGAAATCTCCAAACACTCGGAAATTTAACGGTAGACTTCTAAATAAGCATGAATTAAGGAAAACTAGACAGTATTTTGAAAAATATAGAAATAAAAATAAAATATATCAAAATCTGCAGCTAACACAATGCTTAAAGGAAATTGAATTTATGGCTTAAAATTTTTCAAAAAAGAAATCTGCAGGCACAGATAATTTAACTTGCAAATCCTACCAAACATTCAAAGAAGAAATAATACCAGTTCTACAAAATCACTTCCAGAAAATAGAAGTGAAGAGAACACTTCCCAGCTTTTTCATGATGTTATCATTAAATGCTACAAAACCCAGAACAAGAGAATAAAACAAAACTTCAGACCAATATACCACTCATGAACATAGAAGCAAAAGTCCTCAACAAAATATTACTAAGGATTCCAGCCATATATAAAAAGAATGTTATACTACCACCAAGTGGGCTTCCTACAGGGAATGCAGAGCTGTTTCAGTATTTGACAATCAATCCATATAATTCACTATATTTTTTTTTAAGATTTTTTTTTTTTTTTTTGAGAGAGAGAGAATGAGAGACAGAGAGCATGAGAAGGAGGAAGGTCAGAGGGAGAAGCAGACCCCCTGCCGAGCAGGGAGCCCGATGCGGGACTTGATCCCGGGACTCCAGGATCATGACCTGAGCCGAAGGCAGTCGCTTAACCAACTGAGCCACCCAGGCGCCCTATAATTCACTATATTAACAGACTAAGAAAAACTGCATGATCAGATATATTGAAGCAGAAAAAACATTGAAATCATCTGACATTCATCCATAATAAGAATTCTTAGCAACCTAGGAATAGAAGGGAACTCCCTCAACCTGATAAAAGCCATCTACAAAAAAACTAGGGTTGACATCGTATTTAGTGGTGAAAGTCTAAATGCTTTGTTCCGGAACAAGGGAGGATATTCACTCTCACCCCTCCTATGCAACACTCTACTGCAAGTCATAATCAGTGCAATAAGGCAAGAAAATAAAATAAATACAAATTGGAAAGGAAGAAATAAACCTGTTCTTTTTGGAGATGGCATGAAGTGAGTATAGCAAAGGTGTAGATTATAAGATCAACAGACAAAAATCAATTGCATTTCTATATAATAGCAATAAATGAATGGAAACCAATTTTTTAGAATTCTATTTACAATAGCTCCAAAAGAATGAAAAAGTTAGATATAAATCTGATAAAACATATACAGGATCAACATGATGAAAACTACAAAATGATGATAAAAGAAATAAAAGGAAATCTAAATTTAAGACAAACCATGCTCATGGATTGAAAGATTCAACAAAATAAAGATGTCAATTCTCCCTAAATTGGTCTATAGATTTAATGTAATTCCAACCGAGATCCCAGGTAAGAGTTTTTGATAATATAAACAATGTGAAAGACAAAGGAACTAGAATATAAAAAAACAATTTTGAAAAAGAATAAAGTTGGAGAAACAACACTACTCAATTTTATGACTGAATATAAAACTACAGTTACTAAGACAATATGACATTACCAAAGGATAGATAAGGGTGTTGGCAGATGATCAATCAATAAGAGCTTAGAGTCCAGAAATACACCCACATAATTACAGCCAAATGATTTTGGACAAAAGTACAAAGGCAATTCAAACATGAAAGAATAGTCATTTTTTTAAAAGATTTTATTTATTTATTTGACAGAGAGAGACACAGTGAGAGAGGGAACACAAGCAGGGGGAGTGGAAGAGGGAGAAGCAGGCTTCCCGCTGAGCAGGGAGCCCGATGCGGGGCTTGATCCCAGGACCCTGGGACCATGACCTGAGCCAAAGGCAGATGCTTAATGACTGAGCCACCCAGGTGCCCCAAGAATAGTCATTTCAATAAATAGAACACCTGGATATCCGTATGCAAGAAAAATGAACCTTGATCTAAACATCATATTTTATATAAATGTTAACTCAAATGGATCATAAATCTAAATGTAAAATGTAAAACTGGGGCGACTGGGTGGCTCAGTGATTAAGCATCTGCCTTCGGCTCAGGTCATGGTCCCAGGGTCCTGGGATCAAGTCCCGCGTCGGGCTCCCTGCTCAGCGGGGAGTCTGCTTCTCCCTCTTCCACTCCCCCTGCTTGTGTTCTCTCTCTTGCTGTGTCCCTCTCTGTCAAATAAATAAATAAAATCTTTAAAAATAAGTAAATAAAATGTAAAACTTTAAGAAGAAAAGATAGGAGGAAATCTTCATCACCTGGGGTTAAGCGAAAAATTCTTAGAAATCACATCAAAATTTTGATTCATACAAGCAAAAACGTCCTGCAACTAAATCTAAAATTTTTGTTCTATGAAAGATACCATTAGGAGAGTGAAAAGACTAGCTACAGATTAGGAGAAAATATTTTCTTTTTTCTTTTTTAAGATTTTATTTATTGGGGCGCCTGGGTGGCTCAGTTGTCGTTAAGATTTTATTTATTTATTTGAGAGAGAGACAGAGTGAGAACATGAGAGGGGTGAGGGACAGACTCCCTACTGAGCAGGGAGCCCCACACAGGGCTCAATCCTGGGACTCTAGGATCAATGACCTGAGCCGAAGGCAGATGCTTAACTGACTGAGCCACCCAGGTGCCCCAGGAGAAAATATTTTCAAATCACTTATCTGACAAAGGAACTGTATCCAAAATATTTAAAGACCACTCAAAACTCAACACTAAGAAGATAAATTGCCCAATTAAAAAATGGGTGAAAACTTAAACACTTTGCCAAAGAGGTATATAGTTGGCAAACAAACCCATGAAAAGTTTTCAAATTATTATCAGCTAAGTATGATGAAATAACACTACATCCAGAGTTCCAGTTGTTCCATATCCTCATCAGCACTTGGTGTTGTCTGTTTTATTTTTTTCTTATTGTAGGGCAATTGTAGAATAAAAAAAACCACAAAGGATATTAAGTGCTAGTGAGAATGCAGAGCAGCTAAACCTCTCATATATAGCTATTGGAAATGTAAAATTGTACAAACTGGAAAATAGCTTGGAAGTTTCTTAAGAAGTTAAACAAACACTTGTCCTATGGCTTAGCAATCCCACTCCTGATATTTACCTAAGTGAATTCAAAGCTTATTTTCAGGGGTGCCTGGGTGGCTCAGTCAGTTAAGTGTTCAACTCCTGATTTCAGCTCAGGTTATGATCGATCTCAGGTCATGATCTCAAGGCCATGAGATGGAGCCCCTCGTGGGGCTCCTTGCTAAGTACGAAGCCTGCCTAAGATTCTCTGTTTCCCTCTCCCTCCCTTTTTGCCCCTCCCTCCCACCCCCAGAGGGCAGGTGCACTCTCTCTCTAAGAAAAAAGGAAAACTTGTTTTCACATAAAACCTTGCATACGAACATTTATAGAAGCTCTATTTATAATCACCCAAGCTGGAAATAACCTACATGTCTTTCAGAGGTGATGAGATAAACTGTGGCACAACCATATAATGCAACACTATTCAGCAAAGAAAGGGATAAACTAGGAAGATTCTGAAGATATGTGGAGGGCAGAAACAGAAACCAGCCTTGGGTAGAAATGACAGGGCACTGGAGTTTAGCTATAAGAAGGAATGAGCACTGATTACAAACTAAAATGTCAACAAGGGCCAGGGAGATAGTGTTATTACATGAGGTAGAACAGGTGGGTGCTGTGCCCACACGGAGATTATGTATCTTGTCCACAGAACATAGCAACATCTCAAGAAGCTCTAGCTGATTGTTACCAAGTGAAGATGTGGGCATGCAGTTGCCAGACCTACAATTATCAAGAGAAATGAGTAACCTGTAGTTTCACACTGCAATCTCCCAATTGCAAAATGTTGCCAACGCCAGGGAAAAGAATCGTGACTAGGGGATGGGAAAGGGAAGGAGACTTCATTGTAGATTGTTTTATAATTTGGATCATGTGAATATATTACTCAAAAAATAAATTTTAAAAATTAAGGACAAAATATTGGCAAACCTTGAAAAGACAATTCTATACAATATGTAGGCCAAATTCAGCACATAGGTGACCAGTTTGCAAGATCAAAGGAATAGCCGTCAAGAGGAAATGGTGAGCTTCCTGACACAGAAGGTAGTCTAATGAAGTTGCGGTGACTATGCAGAATCTTATGGAAGGGATTCCTGCATTAAGAAGGTTGCAAAAATTATCTGTACAAAAGATTCTAGATTTTTTTAAATGATATGAAATTTTCCCTACAGGATGAAAAGTGAGGCAGAGCCTGATGGAAATCTATTGTGAATGAAAAGTAATCTTGGATCACAGTCAAGAAGAACAAGGCTCCTGCCAGCCCATAGCTTCACACCACAAGCAGCCCCTGTCCCAGGCAGTGGGCCTGATCTACTTGGTAAAGCTGGTTGACACATGTAAGGCTGACAGACATTCACCTTTAATACTATTTTGAACTTAGGGAAAACTCCCCTTTACCCAGAAAGATTGGCCCCACATGTATGTGTCTGAGATCTGAAATTATTTCATGTTAGACAAAATCTGTTCCCAAAATCTTCTTTCAAAATGAACGATACGTGGGGTGGGGTGGGGCTGGGTATGTTCTGCAGTTTCCTGGATGAGAATCCAGTAACACAATTAGCTACTAGCTCCCTCAGGTGATTAGTTTACAGGCTGGATTTCCTCTCAGACTTGAAGCGGGCAGGGCTGTCCTTTGGCAGGGAAGCAGTGGGTGTTGGGTAGAGATGGAGATGCTGAGAAGGGGGAGAGGTCAGTGAAGACAAGCTTAACCTACCCCCCCCACACACAAAACCATAGAAACTATAGTGCCATTCCGTCAGACTGTACCTCCCTGGTGCCTCCCAACATGGCAGCCTTCCCCCCTTATGGACCTCTCTCTCAGTCCTCCTGCCTCCCTTCCAAGTCCTGACACCTGGTTGAAACCATTAGAGCATTTAAAGCAAAACTGTATGATATCTAATATTTCCACGGTAACCCAAACAGGGTTGATTATAAGCTTAAACTGCTGATGTTTACAATACCCGGCAGCCGTGAAGTCTGGAGGTCTTGAATACTCAAGTTTTTCAGGTTTGTCACGGGTGTGATGTGTTGCTCATATTCTATGGTGAGGGCACTGGCTTCCATGGTGAGAGAATGAATGTTCTCACGGGTGCTGAGGATGGAACTAAAGCTTCTGGCCACGCCAGCACACCTCTTCATGCACAATCTGAGGCTTGTAGCGGAGCTGAGTATCTTTCCCAGATATCTGATATCTTTCTTATTCAACTTGCTGAAGTCCCAGAATATGACCTCCAGAGTCTTGAATTCCTGCTTCCAGTTGAAGAACAAAGACAGGGCCCTGCTGGGAATGTAGGTTTCTGAGGACTCTTCTCGACGCCTGCTCGTGTCTTCTGTGGTCTTGTCCCATGAGGCTGTAGCTTCTCCATAGAAGTCGAGTTTAATGAAGTCCAGAGCACTGGCACAATTAGGCAAGCGTTCAAAGAAGTCAAATAGGTAATCAGGATGTTCTCTGAGTTGATATGTAAGCTTTTACCACAAAAGAAAGCTTCAAATTCTTTAGTCAGGTCTGACTCAGCTATACTCTCATGGAATAAATGAACATCACACTCTGTAAAGGAATGGTGTTTATGGCTTTCAGAGTTGCTTGCACAGTGGTGTTTTTCACATTTTGCATGGATTCTTGCCTCCAGAGAGGCTTCTTGGTGTTGGAGAGCCCGAGGAGGCTGCCATGTTGATACACTCCTGCAAGGTGTTTCCAAACAGTCCTGGTGGCTTCCATAGCTGATCCACCCGTGTACAGAAGCAGGTTGCTATACTTGGATGTAATGTCTGAAACAAAAATCATTTTCTGCAAGTGACCCTTCCCCTTGGTCACCTCCTCTGGCTCTTGAGACTTTAGTAAATTGCTGAGCCTACGTCCTGCTATGTACTCCTGGGATGAGTTATGAAAGAATTGATACTTTGGCTGGAACCGTTGAGCTGTGTATTTACAGAGGAGTCCAGCTGTCAGTAGGGTATCCTCATTCACATGGGACATGTCTTCCAGTTGGAAATCAAACCTGTGGGAGAACATGCCCCCCAGAGCTAGGTCTCCACAGTGGACCAGGCTCTGAGTGAAGTCACCTGCAGCCACCCCTTTAAGTCTGTGCTTGTTTTTCTGTATCAGCAGATTGTAGAAGGTATGGAACCGTGTTGTTTGTGTGTTAGAGTAGAACGCACTTTCCCCCATCTGGATGACACAAGTGATGACCACAAAGAGAGGGGTCTTCATCAGATTCCTCAATCACCTGGATTTCTGAATTTGGAGCAATAAGCCTTCAGCATGCTCCTTCATCAGCACTTTCCAGATGAGAGTCTGGGCACTGTCCTCTGTCATATCCCCCACCTCCGCAGTCAGGGCACCAAACGGCCTGATGTGCCTCAGGCACTCACTGGTGGTGGTGACAACCTCCATATTCTTGAGGCGGTGGTTTTCCTTTATGAGGGCTTTGATCTCTGGGCAGTTCTGGGCCCTGAATTCATTGTAGCCATCGAGGAGAAAAAGAACTCTGCCGTAGCTTCAGCAGCATGGCCATGAAAGTCTGCTTCCTGATCATGTCAGGTGTATGCACGAGTTGATCACACACAGTGGCAAAGAGCCCACCCTGGGCCTTGCTCAGAGGGAGAAAGAAGACTAATTTGGACTTGGTCAGAGCCCCACACTCTCCCGAGGCCCAGAGCATGGCAGTTTGCTGTAGCAGAGCGGACTTCCCTTTGCCCGGTTCCCCTTTGATGATGCAGGGGCTCTCAAGAGTGTCTAGTGGACCATTCAGGGTCAGCTGCTCCAATCTGTGATGGTGATGGTCCTTCCTCCATAGAACACGTTCTGTGAAGGTGCTTTTCAAATTAAAAATAATATCAATATCTTCACTCAGGGGAGAGAAGTTCAGAAAAGATGGGATATGGTATAAATCCTTTAGATCCTGAGACAAATCATCTAGGTCTTCTTTTGATATCTGCTAAAAAAGACCTGTAAGAGAAGAGGTGAGGTTAGAGGATCCGATTCTGTGTCTCCCCAGAACGTAGAGTTCAGGAGGATTTTAAGAGGCAGTTATGCTGAGGATCTTCCTCATTGGCGACTTGACTTTCCTTCCCCAGTATGAGCTGGCAGAAAGGATTCCAAATATTTACTCTTCCCCCTTTGCCTTCTGTTTCCTCCTTTCCACCACAGGATCTTTGTTGAAGCCGAAGGGAAATGGGAGGAGCCTGTGTTGGGCTAGGAAAGTGCGTGAGAATAGTAGGGATATGGCTGAGAGGGATGGTTAGGGGTAACTTCCCCAGATCAAGCCTCAACCTTGATTAAAATCTATCATGAAACAAAATAAGTTATTATTTAGTGATAATATGATTTTTTAAAAGATTTTATTTATTTATTTGGCAGAGAGAGACAGCAAGAGAGGGAACACAAGCAGAGGGAGTAGGAGAGGGAGAAGCAGGCTCCCCGGACACGGGGCTCGATCCCAGGACCCTGGGATCATGACCTGAGCCGAAGGCAGACACTTAACGACTGAGCCACCCAGGCGCCCCTAGTGATAATATTATTAAAAATAGTAATTCCTCATTGGACTAAAGAATTTCAAGAACCACGACTTCTTGAGTGCCTTCATTATCCAGTTTGATTTTGAAGTGAGACTATACTAAATCATTAATCCCTGACCCTGGAGTGACTTATTTGGCTTCAAGGACAAGTAATCTAATGGGAGTTTTTGCTGAGAGTGTCTGAGCTTTTCCTCTGCAGAACCAAAACCCAACTACCCAGTGATATAAAGAGAGAGGAGAGCAGAGGCTCTCTCATGGGGAGTATGGATTTTCTTCATGGTTTATTCTATTTGTAGAACACAAGAAAATTGATACTTTGTCCATTCAAATCCTGAAACAGAGGATAGTTCCACTTTTCAAGGGATTTGAGAAAGAGGTTATAGGATTCGGGACCCTTCTTCAAAGTCAGGGGAATGATCCTTCAGCCTCCTGCTTGACCTTCTCATAGTAAATGATGTTTACTTCTTTGTGATTCAGAACGTTCCACACAAATAGCTCATCCACAATTTGCTTTACAACAGTCATTCCCAACCTTTGAATGAGGACTTGACTATTCTCCTTTATGAAATACACTGAGGAGATGGGGGGAAATAGATACATTTATTTATTTATATAAAATGTGCTTCTCAGCATCCTGTTGCCAGAGCAGTAGGGTCATGCACTCGCCACCCCCACCCCGACCCATCTGGAGTTACGGAAATGCCAAATCCTTGAATTCCAGGCCCTCAAGAAAAGCTCTACAAAGCCCTGCATCCTTAATCCGAGAGTCTTTGTTGAGCAACATGGCTTTTCTTTGGAAATGAAGTCAGGGGAGCAGTCTTGTGCCCCAATATAAAAGGGTCTCTCGTAAGAGTAATGAAACTGGCCTGAGATCTGCCAGTTGCTACCATCTGTGCAACCTTGGCAAGTTGCTAAACCTCTCTGAGCCTATTTCAGTGCTGTGCTGCTAAATATTGAACACACTTGTTCTCTGGGGGTAAAGGCCCTGATTTGTAGAATTCACCAATCTCCACATTAGAAATATTTTCACCGTGGCTGATCTCAAGCTAACAACATATGTCAACTGGCTAACAAAAATCATGAGAATTCAACAATCAGGTCTGACTAAACAGTAAGAACCAGCGCCAATACACACTGGTTGCTCATCTGTACCATGGGGTTGAGAACAGTATTTAACTTATGAAGTTATGAGAATTCCTGTATAATATCTCATACAAAGAGAGAGCTCAATACATGTTAGAGACTATTTTTAGCCATTATTCTGCTGTCACCAATCAAAGGAGTAGTGCATTTCACCTCCCATAGAATTTGTTCTTTTCTAGAGTATCACTGCAAAACAGTTGTCAGTACCAGGGGTAAGTCTGACACCTCTCCAAGTCCCTGGAGAAGCCGTGTCACTTCTATTTCTGGCTCACCATGATCTAACTCTCAAACGCAGACCACACTGCACCCCAGCAGCCCTTCATAGCTTGGAGAAATGTCTCCCTGGTGTTTTCACTCATAGACACTCATCTGTACTAGTTCTCGTCCTGGGCTAGGCTGCTCCTGGTTTTCAAATCTTAAGCTTGACTCATACAAATGGATGTGCTCCTCCTGAAGGCCCCAAGACCTCTCTGGTCTGAAAGGCACCATCTGGCACTCAACTGTTTCATCTTTTTCTTATTTATTTTTATTTACTTATTTATTTATTTTAGTAATCTCTACATCCAATGTGGGGCTCTAACTCGCAACCCTGAGATCAAGGGTCATAGGCTCTTCTTCTTTTTTTTTTTTTTTTAAGGATTTTATTTATTTATTTGAGACAGAATGAGAGAGAGAGAGAGCACATGAGAGGGGGGAGGGTCAGAGGGAGAAGCAGGCTCCCTGCCGAGCAGGGAGCCCGATGCGGGACTCCATCCAGGGACTCCAGGATCATGACCTGAGCCGAAGGCAGTTGCTTAACCAACTGAGCCACCCAGGCGCCCCGGTCATAGGCTCTTCTAACTGAGCCAGACAGACACCCCTTAACCTGCTTCATTTAAAAAATCAACCTCATTAAGGTATAATTACATACAATATATGCATAAATATGGTATATTTGTGTTTATGTATTATATTATGTGTTTGTGTGTATGTGTTATGTTTATTATTATATATTATATATTAGTAATTATTATATATAATACATTTTGTATTTATGTATTATTATATTATATTGCATTATTACATTATTATATTAAGGTATAATTACATACAATACATAAACTGCATACAATAAAATGCAAGGAGATTTGACCAATGTACACACCCATGTCAGTAACACCCAAGTCAAGATTTAGAATATTTCCATCATTGCAGAAAGTTTCCTTGTATAATCCATCCCTCCTACTCCCCACCAAAGCAACCACTGATCAGATTTCTTTAACCATAAAATTAGTTCTGCCTGTTCTAGAGAGTCCTATGAATGGAAAACCTAATATGTACTCTTGTATCTGGCTCCTTTCACTTACCATCATATTTTTGAGATTTGCCTTGTTGTTTGCATGTATTGGTAGTTAAGTCCTTTTATGACTGAGCAGTATTCCATTGTATGACCAAATCAGTTGACTTATCAATTCTATTGATTGACATTTGGTTTGTTTCCAGTTTGTGGCTATAATGAATGAAGCTACTATGAACATTCATGTACAAGTATCTTTGTGGACATATGTTTTCATTTCTCTTGGGTAAATACTTAGAAGTAGTATTTCTGGGTCATATATATGGTAAGTGTATATTAATTTTATAGAAGGTGCCAAACTTTTTTAAAGTGGTCGTACCATTTTACATGCCTACCAACATGTAAAACCAACAGTTCCAATGGTTCTCACCAACACTTGGCATTATTCATCTTTTAATTTTAGCCATACCTATGAATGGGTAGTGGTATCTCATTATGTAGGGTTTTTGTTTTGTTTTGTTTTTTAAAGGATTTTATTTTTTTATTAGAGAGAGCACAGGGGAGGGAGAGAGGGACAGAGAATCTGAAGCAGACTCCATGCTCAGCAAGGAGCCCAATGCTGTGCTCAATCCCATGACCTCAAGATCACAACCTGAGCCAAAACCAAGAATTAGACGCTTAACTGACTGAGTCACCCAGGCACCCCTCTCATTATGTAGTTTTAATTTTCATTTAATGATGCTGAGGATCTTTTCATGTACTTTATTGTTCATTCATAAATCGTCTGTGAAGTATCTGTACAGATCTTTTGCCCATTTTACAAATTGGGTTGTCCTCTTATTACCGACTCTCAAGAGTTCTTCATAGGGGCACCTGGATGGCTCAGTCAGTTAAGCGTCTGCCTTCGGCTTGGGTCATGATCCCAGTGTCCTGGGATTGAGCCCCGCTTCGGGTTCCCTGCTCACTGGGGAGCCTGCTTCTCCCTCTTCCTCTGCCTGCCACTCCCCTTGCTAGTGTTCTCTCTCTCTTTCAAATGAATAAATAAAATCTTAAAAAAAAAAAAAAGTTCTTCATAGATTCTGGATGTAAGTTGCTTGCCAGATATATGTACTATGAGTGTTTTCTCCTAGTCTGTAGTTGTTTTGATTGTATGCAGGAGTTAATTCATAAAGATAACTGAGTGACAACATAGAGAGGTCAATGCCAATAAAAGAAATTTTATTGCTTAATATTCCCAGTAGAAGGAATGTATGCCATATCATACAGGGCTTGATCAGGAGGCAGAGAAGTAAAGGAGAAAAGGAGAAAGCTTAGCCCAGAGCATGCATTATAGTTTTCACAGGAAGAAATGAGTGAGGCAGGGTAGGCAAGTTTGAGCAAGTTTAGGATTGGATAGTTTGAATAATTTTGGCAGACTCTAGGCTCTAAGAGTGACTCTGGAGTGATTTAAGGCAAGGGAAATATTGTCTTGGTGCGTGAGTTTGTAAAGTTGGTGGTTGGGGATATTGTCTTTGGGTTGGTTGTTTTGCATAAGAAAGGCACACTCACAGACAAGTTTTTTGCTTTTCCTATGAATTAGCTAGCCTTGATAGGGGCAGCCTCTCCCACCTAGCAAAACCCCCAAAAGAGCAAAGCACCATAAAGTATAAAAAATTGAAAACATGATTAATACAAGGTTTGCCTTTTATTCTCTGACATCTTTTGAAAAACAAAACATTTTCCTTTTTATGAATTCCAACTTATTAATTTTTCTTCTTTGATTCATGCTATTTGTGTCCTATCTACAAAGTCATTGCTATCCCAAGCCACAGAGATTTTCACCTAAGTTTTCTTCTAGAGGTTTTATAATTTTAGCTTTTACATTTAGGTCATTCATCCTTTTGGGGATAGTTTTTGTTCATGAAGTGGGATGAGGAGTTGTAGTTCATTTTTTTCCCCTATAGAGATATCTAATTTTTCCAGCATGATTGGTTGAAAAGAATATCCATTACCCATTGAATTTATGATGCTGCTTCTGGATTCTCTTCTGTTCCATAGATTTATATGTCTGTTCTTATGCCAATATCATACTGTCTTGAATATTGTATCCTTATAATAAGTCTTGAAATCAGGTAGTATAAATCCTTCCATTTTGTTTTTTTTTAAAGAATTATTTGCATTTCCACATAAATTTAAAAATTAGTTTATTGATAAATATTTTTAAAAGAAGCCTTTTTGACTTCTACTTTCTGGTCTGGCATGTAAAGAAATTATTACCTCCATCCTAAAATCAAGTAAAAAGTAAACTGAATAAACTGAACATCAACAACTCTTTTTATATCTGTCAGAGAATTGGAGCAAACAGGTGTCCCCAAACTGGAGACAGTCAGGCAGATAGAGAGAATCACACTTACTGGAGCAGAAACCCACAAGGAGCAGTAACCTCTCAGAAACCAGCATCAGAAAAGAACGGGGCCCGGGGCGCCTGGGTGGCTCAGTCGGTTAAGCGGCTGCCTTCGGCTCGGGTCATGATCCCAGGGTCCCCGGGATCGAGCCCCACATCGGGCTCCCTGCTCGGCGGGGAGCCTGCCTCTCCCTCTCCCTCTGCCTGCCTCTCTGCCTACCTGTTCTCTCTCTCTCTCTGTCAAAGTAATAAATAAAATCTTTAAAAAAAAAAAAAAGAGAGAGAAAGAAAAGAATGGGGCCCCAGAGCATTTGTATGAGGAGCCAGAGGATCTGAGGCTTTCAGAGATGAGAGAAACAAGAAAAGCTGTCAAAACTAGAAAGAGTATCTTCTAGGGCAGTTTTTCAAATTGGCCAACTCATTAGCAGGTCATGATAGCAACTTAAGTGGGTTATAATTAGTATATGTGTATATATATATTTAAAGTTTATTTATTTATTTTGGGGAACCCTCCTACACTGTTGGTGGGAACGCAAGCTGGTGCAACCACTCTGGAAAACAGTACGGAGGTTCCTCAAAAAGTTGAAAATAGAGCTACCATAAGATCCAGCAATTGCACTACTGGGTATTTACCCCAAAGATACAAAGGTAGGGATCCGAAGGGGTGCGTGCACCCCGATGTTTATAGCAGCAATGTCCACAATAGCCAAACTGTGGAAAGAGCCAAGATGTCCATCGACAGATGAATGGATAAAGAAGAGGTGGTATATATGTACAATGGAATATTATGCAGCCATC